CTGTGCCATCGTCCAAACAGTGTAATAATTAATATAGCATCTGTGTGTTTATTTAGCCCCAAAGGGCCTTGGGACCAGGCTGAGCAGAACCTTTGACTACATTAGTTTCTTGACACATAGTCCTTCTGTGTAGCCTAGGCTGGTCTCTAACCTGAGATCCTCCTGCCTTAGCTTCCTAGGTGCTGGGATTATATGGATGTGTACCCTTTACCTGGCTTTTATATTTTCTTCAAAGAAGAAATATGACTGGACTCTTAAAAGAGAAAGTAGCTGTAGCAAGAATGTTTTATAAGAATTGGAGTGGAGAGAGCCAGGAGAACAAAGGATCATGGGAGACCCTGTTGCTGTGGGCCACGGGAAACAAGGCTAAGTTTGGGATATTCTTAGAAATTAGAGTGGGCACGATTTAATAATGGCTAAATATGGAAAATAAAGCATAAAATACTTCTGAGGCCTTTGTACTGCATAAATCGGCAAATGAAGATGCCATTGGTGAGAGTAATTCTTACAAAATGAGAGGATATTCTGGGAGAACAGGGGTAGCTGCACCTGTGGACCATTCAAGCTGAGTGTCCAGTGTACATCCTATAGTCCAGCTGTACTGGAGGGCACCTCCAGTCTAAAATGACACATCTATTTGACAGAGCAGGTAGGAGTAAAAGAAAAAAGCAGACCTGACTAATGACAGTATATTACATTTTAGGTGGAGTTCTAATCCTTCTGTCAGAGCCAGTGAAGGAGGAAAGGCTGGAAACTGGGGTGTCACCAAACGTCATCAAGAGAGAGTGAAACTTCTGGACGTGGTGGCTCAAGCCTGCAATCCCATTACTAGGGAAGCAGAGACAGGAGGATTGCAGGTTTGAGCCTAGTCTGGGCTACCCAGGGAGAGTCCATTAAAAAACAAACAAACAAAATAAAATAAATAAAAATCGATGAGAAACTGAAGGATTGGAGAAACAGGCATGGTGCAAAGGAGTACATATTAGGAAGTAGGGAAAGTGGAGGAGAGAGCTATGGGTGAAAACAGTAAAGGATTTTTTTTCAGAACACAGGTAAGCAACTAGCTTCCTCTTCTAGTAACTGCTCTCCTAACGGCAACAGAATTGCAAACTCTTCTCATCTTCATCATCAGTTGGTTAACAGAGACAAATAAGAGAGTTATCTGAGATGTGGGTGCTGACAGGGAGGTTGCTCTTCCTTTGCAGAAAAGGAACTGATTGGAAGGTTTTGCACTGAGTGAAGAATGGCAGAGAGGGACGATAGGATAAAAAAAAAAGCGAGAGAAGGGAGAAGTTTGATTTTTATTAGGAGACGTTTTTCTGAACATTTATTTGATAAAGTCTCTGACAAACTGTTAGCAAGGAAAAAGACCAAGAGAGTATGATTTGGTGTAGTAGTATCAGGTGTTAGTATTCAGGCATCTGTACTGGCCTGCCCTTGAAGTTCTGACAGATTACGCCATCAGCTGCAGCCACTGAGAGCACCACCTGTGCACATTCACTATGCTCCCTTTTAAAAGGGCCCCGCCCACCTCCCATCTTCCTTCTTCCCTTCTTTCCCTCCCTCCCTCCCTCCTTCCTTCCTACCTTCCTTCCTTCCTTCCTACCTTCCTACCTTCCTTCCTTCCTTCCTTCCTTCCTTATTTCTGTCTGTCCCCCACCTCTCTCTGCCTCTCTTTTCTCTTCTGCGGCTCCTGTCTCCAAAGGCCAGTCTCTCCCTCCCCCTCCCCCCTTTCCCATTCCCTTTCCCTTAATTAAAAAAAAAAAACTCCTCCAAGTAAGTTCTGTTGCATAGTATCTTTTTCCTCTTTTTAAACGTTACAACATCAGGCTGTATCAGCAAAGTACCTTACACACAAAGAACACCTTTGCATTTGCTGCAGGAACAATCTGAAGATGTTGCAGCTGGATACTAAGTACCTTTCTTGTATAAACTAAAACTTTAAAACTATGGTGCCTATGTAGTGAGAGATCCACCACGTCCACACCTGTGACCCCGCCCACACCTGAAGCTCCTTCTGTAAGTGAATTCTCCCTTGAAATAACTTATATTTAACCTATATTTGAACCTAGACCCGTGAACCGTTATCTGTGCCTCTGCATGCCTACACTTTGCCTCAGCCCCCACGGCTGGAAGAAATTCACAGCCTTTTAGTCCAAGGCAACATCTATTATCTCAGAGCCTTGCTTTGCCTTGGAACTTTTTGCTGTGTGTTCCCTCTAACTCTGCCAACCACGTCAAGTGAAAAACTAAAGCAGACAGCATTTGGAGGTCAGCAGAGTCAAGGGCCCTAGGAAGAAGGGCAGTGACTGGAAGGATTTCTAGTTCCAGTACTGGATGCTCATGAAAGGTGGTATTTAGAGACTGTGAAAAATCAAATGATATTTACAGTGCAATGTGGGTTTCCAGCATAAAAACACTCTGCCTCAATCTTAAGCAAGGAAGATAACCCTTTTATGAATTGAACAATCACGCTAGTAACATTTTTTTTAGTGAACAATCGCTCAGTGGTAGATAGTGTGGATAAAATCAAGACTACTAGTACTGAATTTGCTTAAGGTAAGATAGACCTGTAGATTGCATGTATATAGTTGTGAAGACTTAGATAGCAAGTATTAAGGGGATGGTCTAGTTCTGAATCTCTGGATATTAAAGACCTTCTAAAATACACTGAACATGATGATTTTCAGTTAAAGGCATCTACTTACCTTCACTGCTTGGCAAGCATCTACAATTAAGGCACTGAGCAATATAAAACTCCATTCGGAAATAGGAAGACGAGTGTAAGTCTGTGGGAAGTACCCACAGGAGACAGCCATACATGCAAATTCATCCATACAGTGGGCAGACACAAGGAAACCAGAAGCTCCTATGGTCCTTGAATTCATAAAGTAAATTATTTACATGTGTCTGTGTGGTATGGGTGTTTGCATGTGTATGTGTGCATGTTCATGCCTGTATAAGTTCAGGGTTGATAATATGCAGAATCTTCCTCCATCTCTCTACCTTATTCACTGAGGTAGTGCCCAAAGCTCTGCAGCAAAGACAACTTTGGAACACGCAGGAGATATCCAGCTTGCCCCAGGGAGCCCCTATCTCTGTCTTCCAAACCCTGGAATTATAGGCATGCTACTACACCTACCCTGCATTACCATTTGGCATAATTAACTATGTGGTACTTCACTCTCTTGCTCAAACTCAGTAGTCTATTTATTCTTCATCTGGCATAGAGCACACACTCGGTAGACGGTCGGGATATTAATGTTCACCGAATAAAATAGTAACTAAAGAGAAACACACCAGCCAGTCCTACTACGTTGTTACGTTAACAGAGAGCAGCCCGTGTGAACGGAGTGGTTCACACCTGTAATCCCAGAATTTGGGAGGCTGAGGCAAGTGCAGGTTGCAGCAAGGTTGAAGGCAGCCCTGGCTACACAGTGGGTTCCTGAGCAGTTGGAGTACAGAGTGGAAAATTGTGCTAAAACAGAACAGGAATGGCGTGAAAACAGAAAAAGGAGGGAGGGGTGAGGGAACAACGAAGGGGAGGAGAGAAAGCAGAAATGGGGGAAGGAAGGATCTGCAGAAATGAAGAGAGAGGACTAACCGACAATGGCAAGCACACGAATGGATTATTTGTTTTTAAAAGCTAAGTGGTTTAGGGAAAGTGGAAGTGGGGGGAGAAAGTACATTTTAAAGCTCTAGCTCCAGGGCAAGTAATAAAAGTTTTTGCTTTAAATTTTTTTTCATAATATTGTGAGCAAGAGGAAAGTCTATTCCATCATACCAGCCTCCAGGGCAGAAAGCATCAGCCTCCTGAGCTAAATCAAACTGGCATGGGCTCTCAGATTTCCAGGCAGCTACCACTGGTCTCTGCCTTCCATGAGGCTAAACCTGGCAGACAAAAGGATGCAAAATAAATTTCCACTTATTTTATGGGGCCACTTTTTTTTGCTCTCATCAATTAATTACAAAGGTCCTGCAAGCCCATCTTCCGTTCCCACTGTTCCCTATGAGGATGCTGGCAAGCAGCCTCTCACCAGAGACACAAAACTAGCTAGTGCGAGCATGTGCGTGTACGTGCGCATGCACACACACACGCACACACACACACACACACACACACAGACACACACCAAGGTGAATATGTGGAAATCATAGGACAACTTGCAGAATCAACTCTCTCTTTCTACACCAGGGATTTAACTCAGGTCATCAGGGTTGTTAGTAAGGTCAAAAGGAGTTTCAGTTGTACCTTGCTCTTAGGTTTATGGTGAGGATTAAATGGGGCAATATAAGTAAGAAGTTTAAATAAACAGTAAAGTGTGTGGCCAGCGAACCATAAATATCAACCTTGAACATTTCATATGTGAATGACACAAGACCCCACAATGGGCTCCTTGGAAAAAGAGCCTAAGAAAATCAGTCTTTTTCACCAAGTAAAACATTTACCAGATACACTTGAAATAAGCAGTTAACATGGATTTTTATTTTTGGACTATCTGTTTGTTAAACATAGTATGCAAAGGAATAGTCTAATATTTAGATAAAATGCTTTCTTAAGTGTCCCCTAAAAATATCCAAGGTCCTTCCAGCTCTAAAATGTGTGATCTATGATAAACATTCATAATGAAATGATTTTCTGGAAATCATGGCATTACCTGACCTGGTTGACTGGAAACAACTGAGACACAGCCTGGGAGCCTGTAACAGCACAAAAGAAAATACCACCCTCTTTTCTCTACCAATGGAAAATCTCAGTCAGTCTCTGCCTGCAAGTGTGGTAAAGAAAGCAAGTGAGTTATAATCTACAGAGAAGGAAGCAAGGCAAGACTCTCGGAATCCCGAGCAGAGGAGAGGAAGTATGCAGAACTCTCTGAAATCATTCAAAACTTCACCTTCAACCAAAGAACATCAAGAAGTTTGGCTAAGTAGCATCATTTTAGAGATTAAAAAAATAAAAAACAGGTGATGGGACAATGGTTCAACTTGTAAAGTGCTTACCAGGCAATCCCAACGCCCACATCAAAGCCTGGTGCAACGGTGCATGTCTGTGACCCCAACAGTGGACCTCACTGGCCAACTGATCTAGCTGAATCAGTGACCTCTGGGTTCATGGAGATAGGTGCTATCTCAGTAGCCTAAGGAAGAAAACCCTTGAGGAAGGTATCTGATGTTGACTGCTGGCCCCCACAGGCCCATACACACCTGCATACGCATACACACACACACACACACACACACACACACACACACACGGGGTGGGGGGAGGGAGGAAAGGAGAGAGGGGAGAGAAACACACACACACATACACACATACACACACACACACACACACACACACACACGGTGTGGGGGGAGGGAGGAAAGGAGAGAGGGGAGAGAAACACAGAGAGAGAGAGAGACAGAGAGAGAGAGAGAGGTTAAAATCTAAAGAGATCAAGTGACAAACTAAGGTCACCTAGTTTTTTGTTTGTTTTTTTTGGGGGGTGGGGGTATTTTGTTTTTCGAGTTTCTTATTATGTATACAGTATTCTACCTACAGGCCTGAAGAGGGCGCCAGATCTCATTATAGATGGCTGTGAGCCACCATGTGGTTGCTGGGAATTGAACTCAGGACGTCTGGAAGAGCAGCCAGTGCTCTTAACCTCTGAGCCATCTCTCCAGGCCAGGTCACCTGGTTCTTGTGGAACATGGAATCCAGGAAACAAAACTGCAGCAGTGGCCAACTGTGTTAAAGCAGTCTTTATGTGTTGTGCACACAGATAAATTAGTTATTTTTCTTCCTCGTTGGGACACAATTAGCTTTCCTCATTCACCTGCAACTCAACCAGCCCGTGCCTGAGGTAAACAGACATTGCCTGGTTTTACAGACAAGGCAGTGACATGGTTCTCCCTTTAAACGTATCCTTGCACTTTGTAAATACATTAAATATTACAGTAACAGTGATGCCTCACAACCAAAAGCAGGGGAGAACAAATTACAAGCAAGAAACGGCTCAGGTGACTTTTGATTTAAGCAAACAGGTGTACTCAAGTCAGCAAAAGTAGGTAACAGGGTTCGCGGGTCTGGTGATAATTTAACAACCACACAGAACCAAACTCCTCTCAATGAACCACAATCAGAGACTGCAAAACTCCCAAGAAAACAGAGTTGAAAGCCTGCGTGTCCGATGTCTCCACTTCATCTGTCCAATTCACTCAGTCAGTTCCTCTTCGCAGTCATTTATTAGTTATTAAGTGTGAGTGTTATTAAGTGTGAAAACTCAGACACTGGCAACTCAAAAAAGGGGGGGGAGCTTTTCACACTCTAATTGCAATAACGAGGTAGAAAGTGAAAGAACCCCCCCCAAAGCGCCCCCACCCTACCCTGGTAAAGCCTCTAGGCAGCTGGGAGAGCATTCAGACGGGCTGAAGGCCACTGCTAGGCAGATGAGGGACAGGACAGGGGCTCTTGGGGGAAGGGCTGCGGTGACAGGCACCAGCAGTTGGGCAGTCCCAGGCCTTGGCTGGTGGCTCTTGCAGCCCTATCAGGAAGCTCACTGCAACCGGGCCTGCTGGCCTCAGCCCGCCCACCCGCCTTCCCGGGGGAAAAGCCGGTGGGCCACCGCCCGGGTGCACGCACCTGGTCCCGAGGCTCTGCGGAGCAGCGGCGCGGTCACACCCTGGTGAGGCCTGCAGAAGACCGGGTTGCGTCCGGGGGAGGGGGGGGGCGGGAACGGGAAGGCTGCTCCGGTCGCTCTGGGCGAGCAGGAAGGGCTTCCGAGGCCACAGGAGCTGCCCACCGCCCCACCCCGCGCGCCCTGGGTCTGCAAGCCTGACTCCTTCGAGCGCTGAGGGGTCTCCCCCTCGTCAGTGGCCCGGGAAGATGGTGCAACCCTTCCCCGGGAAGGACCCGACCTGGACTGGTGTCTGTCTCCCTGAGCCTGGCTTAGACCAAGTGGGGTCCTCAAGGCCTGGCTTCTGGAAGTCTTGCCCAGGGAACTCCTCCCCAAGGGAACAGTTGTTTTTTTACCCCGTGCTGGTAAGAATCTAGCACTAAGAAGGCCCCAAGCAGGCAAGGAGGTCGCCCAGGACTTTGAGACTTAGCAAGGGCTAGTAGTATTAAAAAATAAACAAATAAGTAAATATCCCCAGGTTATTTGGTTATTTTTCTCCCTTCCTGCAAGGTTGGAGGACTATAAGAAAGGAGTCGACTGTGGAAGTTAGAGGACATGATCCGGTCTAGGTGATCAGAAAGTCCTTTGTCCGTTTAGGCATTATAAGGCGTCCAGGAAAGAAATATGCTTTACTGCCCACGAAGCATGTGTGCACGTAAGTTTAACGTACTGTGTTTTAGTTAAGTCCAAATTCCCTTGCTTAGCCCGACTCTCGCCAAAGTTGTCTTGGTGAAATACTTCGTAGTTCCTGCCTCTCCTCTTAAAAACTTAGGCATGTTGGGTGTGTGTGTGTGTGTGTGTGTGTGTGCGTGTGTGTGTGCGCGCGTGTGTGCGTGTGTGTGCGTGCGTGCGTGCGTGCGTGCGTGCGCGCGCTGTGTTTCTCAGAACCCAGAAGATGGAGACAGGGGGATCACGCGTTCGAAGGCCAGCCTCGGCTGCCTAAAGAGATGCTGAGAAAAAGAAAACTCACATGCTTGGAAAAACAAGGGGGAAAAATCAAACATACCCAATGAACATTCAGAGTCCTTTCATCTATGTGCACGCAACTCTCCAATAACGGTTCCTCCTAAACGTTTACTAGTGCTGTAGTGTCCCACACAGTGTCACCTCTGTGGGCTCTCCAAGGGTCTTCACAACATGGTCCTAGCTGGCCTTTCCACAAAAGGTCATATACAGCACCACCTGGTTACATTTTTTCCTGAAACTATCTTAGATGAAGAACAAGTTGTATTAGTCCCAATCTCTTATAACTGTTATTTTTGTAAAATGCAATAAAAAAGTTTAGCAAAGGTAAATTAAAAACTGTAAAATGAAAAACTCTAGTTTTTGTTTAAAAAAATTTAAAAAAAAAAAACAAGCATACTGGTTGCAATAAGTAGAACATTGCCCTCTTTTACATTTCTAGCTGGAGAGGTCAAGCCACACAACTGATGAAGTCAAAGTCAACATTCTAAACTGAACGGACTTGGTTTCAGAGTCCATCTACGGAAAAATACTGTGCTGGTCCCTTTTCCATGAAGCCTTCCCATTAGCTGATGGGAGTTAATTACTCCATCTAAAACCCTCTGTTGTAACTGCCTTCCCCCCCCCCTCCATACACACACTGGTTTTCATCTTATTCCCGTCTGTTTCAGAGCTGCTAAATTTCTGACACAGTGACATCAGTTATGTCCCCATACCTCCTATCACTGCTCTCTCTGACTGAAACACCCTGGTGGCTCTGAACTTGGCTCATAGAAGCCACTGAAAGCAGCGCTCATTCTTTGGGCTACTACTCTCTTCTGGGCTTACTTCATGCTAGGATTATTTGCTACATCCTCATCCCCTGCTAAGCCATTTGCCGTTTGATGCGTTCATTTACCTTACTAGTATAGTTTTGGGTCTGCACCGTGCCCACCACAAAGCTCTCTTCTTGCACACTTGGTCTGCAGCTGGTGGTTTTGCTTGGGGAGATGCTGCAAATTTCAGCAGGTTGGAAAAGCCAAATCACTCTGTGCGTGCTTTGGAAGGTTATACCCATAATTCCTTCTGAGTTCTCTGCTCCCGTCTCCCTCCTCTCCTCCGTGCTTCTCACTGCAATGTTATGTCCAAGTACACAGAGCCAAGCAACCGTGAACTGAATCCTTGGAAACCGTAACTAAATAAACTCTCCCTCTTTTTGTTTGTTCTCTCGGGTATTTTTGTCACAGCTTCTTAAAATTCATTGATACACTTAGTAAGAATGGTTACACTTATTTATATAGACAAATATTCACCGGCATATAGCATATCCACTACATGCTGAGTACTGAAAACAATGTCTGACATGCTACCCATCATAGGCACTAAATACAGGCTTGTTCTAAGTCCTAAGCTGACCAGAGTATCACAAGGATATGGTACAGGTGATTGGCAAAGCCAAGTGAGAGCAGATTGGTGAAATAACAATCCTAGTAGCCACCCATTCCTCTAGTCCCAGAAGTGAACAGCTCTAGAGGAGACAGCAAGTTAGACATAAAGCACTAAGCTAGTAGAAAACCCAAGGTGATAATACCTGTCACCCAAGTCAAGACCAACGTGTGAGCTGGTCTAAACCCCATGATAATGCTGTTCTTAACTACAGTGAATCTATGGGTGATAGAACTGAGTGTTCATGCTAAAGTAACTGAGGATTCCAATGTTAAATCAGATTACCCCACCTAAAATCAAATAAATAAAGAGTATTCTGGATGGTGGCCCTGTTTTCACAAGAATTGCTCAATGTTTATTTTGAAAATCCTATTCTATAATTATTTGATTAGCCTTTTAGTTTTCCCAGAAGTATCAAATCCAGCACTTTTTTTTTTCCAAGACAGGGTTTCTCTGTGTAGCCTTGGCTATCCTGGAACTTGCTCTGTAGACCAGACTGGCCTGAAACTCACAGACATCTGCCTGTCCCTGCATCCTGAATGCTGGGATTAAAAGCATATACCACCACCGGCAAGCAATTACATTTTTTTATTTTAAATTTTATGGGTGTTTTGCCTGCATGTATGTCTGTGTGATGGCATTGGATCCTGGAGTTACAGGCAGTTGTGAATTTCCATGTGGGTGCTAGGAATTGAACCTGGATCCTCTTGAAAAGCAGTCAGTGCTCATAACTGCTGAGCCCTCTCTCCAGCCCCTGAAATCCAGCACTATTTATTTATTTATTTAATCTGTTAGAAGATGTTGGTATACCTTTAAAATACACTGACAGTATGGTATCCTCTAAACTACCAGTCACAAAAGTTAAGCCTGAATCTCCAAGTCCATAGCGTGTTACATTAAAATTTACAACTTGTCCATTAACGTTCATTTCAGCACTATTATCAGTAGCTAATTTATGGAACCAAGCCATGTGTCTGTCAACAGAGGAACTAATAAAAACATGCTATATATACACATAATGGACATTTTCAGCCATAGAGAATATTGAAATTAGGTCATTTTCAAGAGCATTGATATAGTTGGAGCTAAGTATGCTAAGTTACTGCTCAGAAAACCAGACATTAATATTCATTCTCTTGTCTGTGTTCCCTAGATGTTACATGGATACGTATATGAAAATAGAAATGAAATTTTTTAGTAGAACAAAGAAGACAAATTTAAAGAAAGAGTGACAGTCAGAGGAGTGCATGTGTGGGCTCAAAGGACACCATATATTTGTATGAAATGTGACCCAGCACCGTGAACAGTGAATAAATGCCAATGGATAAAATAAAAATAATTTTTAAATATAAAAAGTAAAAATTTACAAGTGTGTAGCCACACAGGTGAAAACAATGAAGCTAATCTCTGAGGAAATGTGCATTTTAAAAAATTAAATAGCTTTCATATTTGAAAGATATCATGAAAGGAAAATGCCTGATAAGAAGCAAACATTCAGTATTAACTAATACCCAGACGCTACTGAGCATCTAAAAAAGCAGAGTCAATGATAAATATTTTCATAGAAGTTGACAAATATAATTATAATATCAAAAGTGGTGTGGATTTCCTCAGGGGCAGTGACTTTCTGGACAATGGGCTTTAAACTGAATAAATGGGATCGTTTAAAACTTGTGATTTTCCTATATGTGGTTCCTGACGCATCATTGCTCAAGTATTTTCGAGCCTGTGATAACGTGACGTGATACTAATTCTGAAAAGTCCATACTTTAAATTCCTTTACTCTGGGTTGCAATATGTGGTCTGACACTCGATAGGAATGCTGGATACAAACAGCAACTCTGGCTGGGCGGTGGTGGCGCACGCCTTTAATCCTAGCACTCGGGAGGCAGAGGCAGGCGGATCTCTGTGAGTTCGAGGCCAGGCTGGACTGACAGCCTCCAAAACAATACAGAGAAACCCTGTCTCATAAAACCAAAAAAACAAACAAAAAAAACCAGCAACTCTGTCGTGATATCGTGAAGGTGAAACTTGAAGATGGTAAAGAAATTGCGATTGGAGTTCTTACAGAAGGGGAGGGTAGGTGGGAATTTTCAAAGAGTGAGTGAAACGACTTGTTTTCTTCTGCTTTGATTGTCTGATACGCAGAGTCACCCGAGTCATTCAGCATTTTATTGCAAGCACTTTTTGCTACATGATTCCATCAAGCGTAGGAGAATGAGAGTATTCTGATTGAGGCGGAGGCAGACAAGGCTAGCCTAGCATGCTCCATAGGCTAGGTGACTTAAGTGCATTTTCTTAATTCTAATGTGTTTACTGAGATGTGTCCCCAACATAGTCGAGAAGCATTTGCATCTACTTATCAAGGAGGATATGATTAAAGGATACACCCATTACTGTGTTATATCACACTCGATCTACATAACAGATTAAAACAATGGGGACTGCTAATTTTGTAATATTGAAATCTAAATTGGGGCAAAGTGTTTGTTCATATGGTCAGAATTTGTATAGGAAAGAATGGTGAAAAACACAGGAATGAAACGAACCAAAATACTAACAGAGGCTATCATCGTGTAACAGGATGAATATGTTTATTTCTTCCATCTCTTTGTGTATTTCCACTTTTTCCAAAAACAGATTCCATTCCCTTTACAGCAGCAACAACAACAACAAATACAGTAAATGTTCTAGAAACAGACCAGTAAGTAGGAATGAATCATTAACAAGGTTGACTTTGTACTTGACAGTGGATGCTAATCAAAGGTAGATTCCCCTCCTCCCACCTTTCATTGAGGTGTGAAAGGACTGGCTGATTCAGGAGCTCTTGAACGTGGGATACAGATAAAGGAAGCACCACTGGCTGATCGGTAATGAAAGACCTCCGCATTTCTGGGATCCGGTGATCCTGGGCGTTCTGCTTGGGCCTCTGTTCCGTGTCTCTACTTCTGCCCAGTACAAAGGGCAACATTAGTAAAAAGAAGAGAGACATTGTTTCTCCCAATGTCAGCGAGGCGTCTAGATGCTTTATTTGACTCCACAGGTGTTACAGTAACACAGTAACGAGACCAACCCTGAGAAAGATATGGGGTCTGACTCAAGCATGCGTGTGCAGCTAGCTCTGTTACAGTTCTCAACTGTTCCCGATCGTCCACCACGCCACAGTACCTCATGCCTAACTACTGAGAATTCTGTTAGCAGATAATCAGTGTGCATCTCTCAGTTTCCTTCTAGAACTTCCTTTTTTTGCAGGGTCGTCCCATTCATAGTTACTTCGGAACTGATTTTTGAGGCCGTTCCCCTACATACTGGGAAACATATAGCATGGCCTACAGAATAATCTAGAAATGTATGTCATAAATGTTGGGGAATATCATTTCAAGGTTTGCGACTTTTGTTTATGCCTCATTTGTTTAACTCTGTGAAGCTGTGATTCTTTGCCTGTCTAACACGCCTGATGGTCCCAATAAAGAGCTGAATGGCCAATAGTGAGGCAGGAGCAAGGATAGGCGGGGCTGGCAGACAGAGAGGATAAATAGGAGAAATGAGGAGGAACAAGGAGAGCAATGAGAGAATAAGGAGAGGAGGACGTCAGGGGCCACCCAGCCACCCAGCCACCCAGCCACCCAGCCACCCAGCCACCCAGCCACCCAGCCACCCAGCCACCCAGCCACCCAGCCACCCAGCCACCCAGCCAACCACCCAGCCACCCAGCCACCCAACCACCCAGCCACCCAACCACCCAACCACCCAACCACCCAGCCACCCAGCCACCCAGCCACCCAGCCACCCAGCTACCCAGACAGCCATGGAGTAAGAAGGAAAGTAAGATCTACAGACATAAGAAAGATAAAAGCACAAGGGAAAGGTAGACCAGTTAATTTAAGAAAAGCTGGCTAGCAACCAGCCAAGCTAAGGCTGGGCATTCATGAGTAATACAAGACTCTATGTGTGATTTATTTGGGAGCTAGGTGGTGGGCCCTTTAAAAAAAAAAAACCAAAAGAGTAAAACATCACACTACAATTAAACATAGGGCACCTGTCTACTCCTTAGTTTGGATGTAAATTGTTTCCAAAATGAATGGAAGATTATTGCCCACCCCTTTATAGTATTTTCCTGCCCTTCTGGGGAACCTCTGCTCCCTCTTTCCACGTGTTCCTGGAAGAATAACATCCCTGCCCTCCACCTGAGACCCAGGCTGCTTCTTCATGCTCACAGAAATAAGTTCACAGATGAAACTATGACTCAATCTGGACCAAATTACTCCTTAAAATTTAGCACAACCCACTGAAAGAGAAAGAGTGAATTCTTCCAGATGCATGCAAGACAATAGAAGCTGTTTTGTTTAAACATTTTTCCAGTCACAAAAAGGGGGACACCTGTGGGGAAAAAACACACACAGACAACACCAGAAGAGAAGTAAAGGCAGTGGTTTGTGAATGGAAAGGGCTGATACCAACTGAACCTTCAGATCAGGTGTGCCTGAAGCAAGACAAGAACCTTTGCAGCCACACATACAAGCAAACTCCTGTTTTTCTTTAGTATTCAGGTTAGCATTTCTCTCATTTGCTCCCACAAGATTCATTATATATGGGCATGCATTAAATGTGGTTACACTAACAACTCCGTGCCATGACTGCAGTTGCTAAGACCCTATAAATGGCTCCTGCAAGTTAGACCCCAGTGGCTCAGAAAATTGCCCCAGGTCCCACTGTGCACTAAATAAACCTCCTCACTCTATTTCTTTATCTTTCCTTTTATCCTAGGTCTGGA